CTCTAATAAATTTGTTAGTCTCTAAGGTGCCACAAGTACTCCTGTTCAATTTTACAAGTACACAAAATGTATCTACCTGAATAGAAAGGCAATGGACCATACTGCTTTTATTTTTTCACAAGCCCTATGATAATTTAAAATGGATTTTGCCGTAAATTTCTTCCAATTGGCAAAGCCAGATTTAACCTTTGGTTAAAATGTCAAAGTGTGTGCATTTCTGAAAGCCAACAGAAAGAAAATACAAGGGCCTTTGCTAACTTGCACTGTGGTTGCAGCAGTGAGCATATGCTGGCTGAACAAAAAAATTCTCGTTTAACAGCAAGCTTATCTAATTACCAGCCTCTCAAGTAAGCAAAATCAAGTAATATCGCAAATAAACATTGAAAGATTAAAAATAATCCACATTTTCATGAGCAGCTGCCACCACTTATGTGTCCTACAAACTATAAATAAGAATTATACATTTATTGTACTTAATAATCAATTAAATGTCCAAAAGATCACTATATAAACTGATGAGTCTTGACATTTAGATTTCATCAGGTAGTTACATATGAACAGAAAACTCTTTCCAACTCTTATTCTTTCTTTTATTTGAAATCCATAAAGTAATTTGCTACATACACTGAGCATATTAAAAAAAAGGCCTAAACTATCTGATTGTAATTTCTCTCAGAAGGTAATATTAACCCAAACCTGCGTTTATGCAACTGGTCTCAAGAGTACTTTTCAGATACATTTGAAGAGCTTTCTACAACCCCTTCACCAACTATAGCATATATCGGTGGGACTTTAAATAGGACAACCTAATGTCCAACCACGACTACTTTGCTTTTTACTTAAACCTACCTGGAGCCCAATTGTCCTAAATTTAAAATTACCATCTCTGGAGGGAGGGAGGTAGAACGGGGATATCTATTAAATTGTATTTTAGGAGAACAATTATATATAAATTGCCCTTCATCAAAGGTAAATCTTCTGGGCATTGTAGAATGTTAAAAGAACATCCATCATAACTAGACAATATTTAAGAATTCTACATCATTAAGATTAGGAAAGTGTAACAAATTATTCTGTAGAGTGGAAACAGTTTTATTGAAATTGTGTGTTGATTCAGAGATATACTTCAGAAGGAAGGGGATTTTCATTAAACTATGCAGACAAGTGCCTTCATCTCTTCTAAACCTCTCCATTCCCTCCTCTGCTCCATCAGACAAAAATCAAGCTACCTCAGCCAAAAGCAGGGGGAACAGAGAACCAACAGCTGTAGACTACCTCATGTCCCAGATCACCATCCTTCATGGACATGTTACAGCACTTTCACATGGGGAGTTACAAAACCTTGCAAAAGGTTTTTTGGGATAAGTGTTCACAATTCCGCACCCTATTGAGACAAACAAAGGAGTAGGTGGCAATGATTAACATAGTTCCTTAAGAGAAATCATACACTTAATTTCTCTCATGTAAATATAAACCTGCAACACCCACACAAAACACAAATACAGTTTGCTTGTACAGCATAGTTTCTACCTTTTTCTCCAACAAATGGCAATGACCACGTAAAGACATCCATAAAATTTGGTAACCAATAAGGATGCGGAGAACAATTGAACTGTCGAATATTCATCACATTATTTTCATATTTTAACACAGCAGCTGCAAAACAACATTTAGAAATTAAGGCAAGAATTTTTATCCTTAACACTAAGTATAATAAAAACAAAATCATCAGGAAGATTCAATTATCTTTTCCCACATTTACAGTTATATTACACCTTATGTAAAAATATATGCAAGAGACACTCTATGATCCTTTACTCATGATTATGGAAGATATTTCTAACAGAGAGCTTTGTTATATGAAAAATCACTTTATGTTGCAATTTAAAAGAGGTACATTTTAAGGAGAATACAAAATTGCACTGACACTTAACTTAATAATGGACACAGAGGAAAAACTACTAAAAGTGCCATTGCAGGTATTGTCACAAACATCCAACTCAAAACAACAGTATAACTGGCTCCAGATTTTTATTATCCCACATTTTAATCAACGGACTACTGGCTACACATTCACAATCAAATTTCAGTTTCTTTTCATCACCTTCAAAGCTTTGCCTAACTCTGTCCCCTCCTTACTTACAATGCCTTGTCAAGCCTCAGGCTGCTCTCCACCTGCCTCCAACTTTGTCCCGCTGTTTTAGCTTCTCCCACAATCATTTCCATGCCTCCTTCCACACAGCCCCCTATGGATGGTACTACATCCCACAGCTCATCTGCATGGTCTCTTCCCTGTCCACATTTAAAAGCTTACTTCTGCAGTGTGGCTTGCCGCGAATTGAGCTGACTTGTATATAAATTGTCTACTACTGTTCCTCGGCCCCTAACCTCTATTTCTCAGCTTGTATTTTACATTGTGAACTGCTCAGAGCACAGAGCATCCCAGCCTGTTTGGAAAGCACTCAGTGGGTGTAACAATCTGTATGAGAGGGTTACTCACCTTATACAGTAAATGAGGTTCTTCAAGATATGTCCCCCTGTGGGTGCTCCATTTCAAGTATCAGGCTACGTCTACACTATCCGCCGATCTCACTCTATCTCACTCGATCCCCGATCGCTCTCCCGTCCACTGCTGAACTCCAGCAATGCGAGAGGAGGAAGCAAAGTCGACGGGGGAGCCGCGGCCTTTGATCCAGCGCCACGAGGACGCGAAGTAAGTAATTTTAATTCAATCTAAGATAAGTCGACTTCAGCTACGTTATTTTCATAGAGATTTACAGTAGCAGTGTCCATGCAGGTCATACGTGCGCTGTAGATGTCTCGCGGTGCCGTTGGTGCTTCATCTAGCATGCGCACAGCCCGATCCCTCCAGTTCCTTCTCTACCGTAAAGTCCTTACTGCCAACTCCAAAGTAGAGGGGAGGAGGATGGGTAGTGAAGCACCCACAGGGGAACACATCTCGAAGAACCTCAGTTACTGAACAAGGTGAGTACCCCTCTCTTCTTTGAGTGATGTCCCTGTGGGTGCTCCACTTCAGGTGACTGTAGAGCAGTGCCCCTCAGAGGTTAGGAGGGACTTTGGGTTTGCTTGCACTGTAGAGGCGAGTACAGTTAGGCCAATTATGGCATCAGGCCTTGAATGATTGCATAATGATCAGTAAATGTATGGACAGAGGCCCAAGTAGCCACTCTACATATGTCTATTATAGGCACATTGTTTAGAAATGCTATTGAGGTCGATAGAGCGCATGTGGAATGGATCTGATGTCCTTAGGAGGTTCTGTATTGTGTGTTTGGGTAACACTGTTGAATACAGGTGGAGATCCATTTAGATAATCTCTGAGTGGACAGCACTTATTTTTGAATGTTCGGTCATGGACACAAAGTCTCGGGGACTTTCAGAAAGGCTTCATTCTATCTAACTAGAACGCTAACGCGTGTCTAACATCTAATATATGCACAATGGTTTCGTTTGGATTCCCGTGTGGTTTAAGGTAAAACATGGGAAGGTGAATTGGTTGGTTTATATGAAAGGGTGATGATATTTTCGGTAGGAACTTTGGGTGGGGTCATAACGTGACCTTGTCCTTGAAGAATATTGTGTAGGGAGGATCGGCCAAAAAGACCCCTATCTCACTTACTCGTCTGGCGTAAGTGATAGCGACCAAAAAATGCCACCACTTTCATGGACAGATGCAGTAAGGAACAGGTGGCTAAAGGTTCAAATGGTGGTCTGTTGATGCATTTCAATACCAAGTTTAGATCCCATGCCGGAGTGGGTTGGTGAACCTCTGGGTAAATGTTCTGTAGACCGGTGAGAAAGCGTTTAGTAATTGGATGCGCGAATATCAAGGTCCCTTCAATTCCATGATTGAACGCTGTAATGACCATGAGATGCACTTTGATCGAGTTTGTTGGAAGACCTGAGCGTTTCAACTCCAATATGTAGTCCAGCACCAGCAGTAGTGGTTCTGTAGTGGCAGTCAACTGTTTTTCTTGACATCATGAGGAGAATCTTTTCCATTTTTAAGGGTAAGTTTTACGGCATGGTTGATCTCTTGCTGTTTAGTAATATGTGTTTGACTTGTTCCAAACAGGCTAACTCACCATAATGGAACCATGCAGGAGCCATGCTTTCAGATGGAGTTTCTCCAGATTTGGGTGAAGATTCATAGATTCATAGATTCTAGGACTGGAAGGGACCTCGAGAGGTCATCGAGTCCAGTCCCCTGCCCGCATGGCAGGACCAAATACTGTCTAGACCATCCCTGATAGACATTTATCTAACCTACTCTTAAATATCTCCAGAGATGGAGATTCCACAACCTCCCTAGGCAATTTATTCCAGTGTTTAACCACCCTGACAGTTAGGAACTTTTTCCTAATGTCCAACCTAAACCTCCCTTGCTGCAGTTTAAGCCCATTGCTTCTTGTTCTATCCTCAGAGGCTAAGGTGAACAAGTTTTCTCCCTCCTCCTTATGACACCCTTTTAGATACCTGAAAACTGCTATCATGTCCCCTCTCAGTCTTCTCTTTTCCAAACTAAACAAACCCAATTCTTTCAGCCTTCCTTCATAGGTCATGTTCTCAAGACCTTTAATCATTCTTGTTGCTCTTCTCTGGACCCTTTCCAATTTCTCCACATCTTTCTTGAAATGCGATGCCCAGAACTGGACACAATACTCCAGCTGAGGCCTAACCAGAGCAGAGTAGAGCGGAAGAATGACTTCTCGTGTCTTGCTCACAACACACCTGTTAATACATCCCAGAATCACGTTTGCTTTTTTTGCAACAGCATCACACTGTTGACTCATATTTAGCTTGTGGTCCACTATAACCCCTAGATCCCTTTCTGCCGTACTCCTTCCTAGACAGTCTCTTCCCATTCTGTATGTGTGAAACTGATTTTTTCTTCCTAAGTGGAGCACTTTGCATTTGTCTTTGTTAAACTTCATCCTGTTTAACTCAGACCATTTCTCCAATTTGTCCAGATCATTTTGAATTATGACCCTGTCCTCCAAAGCAGTTGCAATCCCTCCCAGTTTGGTATCATCCGCAAACTTAATAATCGTACTTTCTATACCAATATCTAAGTCGTTAATGAAGATATTGAACAGAGCCGGTCCCAAAACAGACCCCTGCGGAACCCCACTCGTTATGCCTTTCCAGCAGGATTGGGAACCATTAATAACAACTCTCTGAGTACGGTTATCCAGCCAGTTATGCACCCACCTTATAGTAGCCCCATCTAAATTGTATTTGCCTAGTTTGTCGATAAGAATATCATGCGAGACCGTATCAAATGGCTTACTAAAGTCTAGGTATACCACATCCACAGCTTCTCCCTTATCCACAAGACTCGTTATCCTATCGAAGAAAGCTATCAGATTGGTTTGACATGATTTGTTCTTTACAAATCCATGCTGGCTGTTCCCTATCACCTTACCACCTTCCAAGTGTTTGCAGATGATTTCCTTAATTACTTGCTCCATTATCTTCCCTGGCACAGAAGTTAAACTAACTGGTCTGTAGTTTCCTGGGTTGTTTTTATTTCCCTTTTTATAGATGGGCACTATATTTGCCCTTTTCCAGTCTTCTGGAATCTCTCCCGTCTCCCATGATTTTCCAAAGATAATAGCTAGAGGCTCAGATACCTCCTCTATTAGCTCCTTGAGTATTCTAGGATGCATTTCATCAGGCCCTGGTGACTTGCAGGCATCTAACTTTTCTAAGTGATTTTTAACTTGTTCTTTTTTTATTTTATCTGCTAAACCTACCCCCTTCCCATTAGCATTCACTAGGTTAGGCATTCCTTCAGACTTCTCGGTGAAGACCGAAACAAAGAAGTCATTAAGCATCTCTGCCATTTCCAAGTTTCCTGTTACTGTTTCTCCCTCTTCACTAAGCAGTGGGCCTACCCTGTCTTTGGTCTTCCTCTTGCTTCTAATGTATTGATAAAAAGTCTTCTTGTTCCCCTTTATTCCCGTAGCTAGTTTGAGCTCATTTTGTGCCTTTGCCTTTCTAATCTTGCCCCTGCATTCCTGTGTTGTTTGCCTATATTCATCCTTTGTAATCTGTCCTAGTTTCCATTTTTTATATGACTCCTTTTTATTTTTTAGATCATGCAAGATCTCGTGGTTAAGCCAAGGTGGTCTTTTGCCACATTTTCTATCTTTCCTAACCAGCGGAATAGCTTGCTTTTGGGCCCTTAATAGTGTCCCTTTGAAAAACTGCCAACTCTCCTCAGTTGTTTTTCCCCTCAGTCTTGATTCCCATGGGACCTTACCTATCAGCTCTCTGAGCTTACCAAAATCCGCCTTCCTGAAATCCATTGTCTCTATTTTGCTGTTCTCCCTTCTACCCTTCCTTAGAATTGCAAACTCTATGATTTCATGATCACTTTCACCCAAGCTGCCTTCTACTTTCAAATTCTCAACGAGTTCCTCTCTATTTGTTAAAATCAAGTCTAGAACAGCTTCACCCCTAGTAGCTTTTTCAACCTTCTGAAATAAAAAGTTGTCTGCAATGCAGTCCAAGAATTTGTTGGATAGTCTGTGCCCCGCTGTGTTATTTTCCCAACATATATCCGGATAGTTGAAGTCCCCCATCACCACCAAATCTTGGGCTTTGGATGATTTTGTTAGTTGTTTAAAAAAAGAGTGTAACTGTTGTTCTGTGACAGAAGGTCCGTCCGAAGAGGGAGCACTCATGGGGCGCATATCGCCATGTGCATCGGGTAAGGATAAGAACATGGCCTGTCTGGCCCATGTCGGGACTATTCGGGTGACTGTAGCCTTTTGTATTCATATCTTGTATATTACTTGTGGGATCAAAGGGATCGGTGGGAATGCGTACATGAGTGTTGCATCCCATGGGATGAGGAAGGCATTGCCCAGTGATCGGGATCCCATCTCTGCTCTCGAGCAGAATAATGGGCATTTGTGGTTTGTTGGGGATGCAAACAAGTCGATGGGGGGAGGTCCCCATCATTGGAATATGGACTGCAGGACTACATTGTTCATTTCCCATTCATGCTCCCATGAGAAGTGTCTGCTGTCGAATTCTGGAAGGTAGGAGGTTAAGATGTTTATTTTGTGGTGAATGCACCAGTTCCACAGTTTCATGGCTTCGGTGCATAGCGAGTGTGATAGGGCTCTTCCTTGGCAATTGATGTAAAACATGCAGGCAATGTTGTCAGTCATTATACAAATTGATTTGTTCTTTATCAGTGACAGGAAATGTCTGCAGGCATTGCGTACCGCGCATAGCTCGAGTAGATTGATGTGTAAGTGGGTCTCCTCAGCAGACCATTTGCCTTGAACTGTGTGTTGGTTCATGTGGGAGCCCCAGCCTATCAGGGATGTATCTGTGATAATTATTATCGGGGGAGGGTTCTACTGGAAGGGGATGCCCACACATACATTTTCTAACCTTGTCCGCCAGTGTAGAGAGTCCAAGACTTTTGGCGGTACTGTTAGTCGTTTATGGAGGCTGTGCTTGCTGGGTATGTATATTGAGTTCAATCAGCTCTATAGGCAGCACATATATAGTCTTGCGTGTCCTACCACAAATGTTGTGGCTGCCATGTGACCTAATAGTTGTAGTCCTATATATGCGGGTTTTTGGGGGCTGCTGCTGATTACCAATATAAGGTTGGTCATTGTTGTGAATCTGCTCAGAGGCAACGATACTTTGGCCTCTATGGCATCGAGGTGTGCCCCCAATGAAGTCCAGTTGTTGTACAAGAATTAGGGTTGATTTTTGTTCGTTTATCTGCAACCCTAGATTCCTGAAGAGTGCAGCTGTCTTCTGGACCATTTATATTGCTTCTTGTTGAGTCGAGCTCTTGAGGAGACAATCGTCTAAGTATAGGAAAATCATTTTCCCTCGTTTGTGTAAATGTGCTGCCTCTACCGCAAGTGTTTTCGAGAAAACTCTTGGTGTGGTGGACAGGCTGAACGGTAGTACTCTGTATTGGAAATGATAGTTTTCCACTGTGAATCGCAGGACTCTTCTGTGAGCGGGATGTATGGTAATATGAAAATAAGCATCTTGAAGGTCAAGGGCTGAAAACCAGTCCCCCTTTTGCTGCGCTGGTAGTATCGTGCCCAATGTGACCATCTTGAATTTTTAAGTTCGTACAAACTTGTTGAGTTTTGTGAGGTCTAAGATGGACCTCCATCCCCTGTTTTTCTGGTTCAAGAAGTAATGGGAGTAAAATCCCTTCCCTCTGTGTTGTGAGGGACCTGTTCTATGGCACCTAACTGTAGAATATGATCTACTTCTTGTCATAGCAGGTGCTCATGAGAAGGGTTCCTGAAGAGGGAGGGGGAGGGGAGTAAGGTAGGTGGGTGGGAAGTAAAGGGAATGGTATAGCAGTCGTCGGTGCTGATAATTTTTGTGATCGTTTGATTAGCATGGATGGTGCCGTTTTGGATTTTCCCATCGGTGCTGACTGCACCGTTGGTGCTGGAAGTGGAGGCATGGTTCCCGGGGAGAGTCTCGGCACACTGTCCCTCACCAGTGAGGTCGGTGCCGTGGAGGAGACGTCTCTTTTTATGCCTCGACTCTGTCTTCTTGTGGTGGGGCTTGGCAGAGGTCCCAGTATGGACGGTGCCAGAGGTGCCCGGAGCATCAATGGTGCTCACCCTTGTGGTTGTCGGCATCAGAGTAGCGACCTGGCAGGAGACTGCCTTTTTTTCTGCGGTGCTCTCTGCAGCGAAGTTGGTGTTCTCTTCCTCAATCTTTTAGAGGATGGCATGTCCTCTTTTGCTGAAGTCGGGGTGCCTGGAGAGGAGGAGGTCTGTTCTGTCTCCGTTTGGAGAGATTTCCCCATTAAGATCAGTTTCAAGTGGCGATCCTGGTTGCGCCTGACTCTCACTTTTAAATTATTACAGTGGCTGCACTTTTGTGGGATGTGTGCCTCACCGAGACATCGGACACATAAGTGTCCATCAGAAATTGGCATCGCTTCATGACATAAGCCACATCTTTCGAACCCTGGGGAGCCAGGCATCGTTCAACAGTTGAATGTTCCCTGCTGTGAGGAAACTATGGGGAAGGGGAAACCAGGAGAAAACCCTTTTTTTTTTTTTTTTAAAACTACTAGCTATCTAAGCAAAATTAATTATTATTAAAAACTTGCTGTCTATCTAAATTATACTATTTCTATTTTTGGGGGGGGGGGGAGAAAGAACTGTGAACACCGCCACAGAGCTCCATCTCAGGCCGAGGTCGGTTGGGAAGGAACTGGAGGGATCGGGTCGTGCACACGCTAAATGAGATGCCAACTGCGCTGCAAGACATCTACTGCGTAAGTGTGGACACTGCTACCATAAATCTCCGACTGATGGCTCCAGGACGCACCGACACCTGACGTGTAGCAGCCACAAAGACATCTCTCGAAGAAGAACCCTATGTTCACAATTTTTACAAAACTATAATGGATTTTATACAAAGTATACCGTATGAGGTTTGATTAAGTATACCTTATGATCAGTTTGCTGATCATTATTGTCCTGGTAAAATGTGTGTGGCAACACTGTATACAAAGTTATAAAATGCTACTGAGACATATTCCAAGTTTAGAAAAGCAGGCACAAACCAGGTCCTCAAAAACAAAAGACAAACTGATACCTCAGCCAGGTGTCAACAAAATCAAATGGACTACCACCTGGTTAAGCGGCCATTCTTTGGCAGGAAAAAGGGTGAGAGTGAGAAATTTACAACTTGGCAAAGAAACAGTTGGAAGTTCCCATCCCACAGACTGTCTCCTGAATCCCAGCTGGAGATGATTCTCAAAGAGGAAGAAAAGATAAAAATGGGGAACAGATGCCCCAAATCATCTCTCCATTTCTACTCATGGCATCGACAACACTTGAAGAATAAAATAAGTATCATCGGACTGGGGAGGGATCCTGGCTGAAAGATTCAACCAGTAAAACTGCTAGAACATATGGTGAGAGAGAACTTTATGCTTTGAATTCACTTAGCTTGTTAAGTTAGGTATCAGTTGCGTTTTACCTTTTATTTACTTGTAACCAATTATGACTTTTATGCCTCATTATTTGCAGTCACTTAAAACCTATCTTTCTGTAGTATTGTTTTATCTAAACCAGAGTGTGTTTGGATTGAAGGGTTTAGGAAACTTCATTTGAGATAACATTTGTGCATATCATTTTCTATTAATGAAATGACGGACTTTATATGACCTTGCATTGTCCACGAGGGGCTGGGCAGTACAAGATGCACACTTCTAGGGGAAAATCTGGGACTGGGAGTTTGCTGGTGTTGCCCTGCAGCATAATTCATGGGTGGCTGGCTATAGCACTCATATAATATAGCTGCGAGTGATTTACATGCTGGAGGCTGGGTGTAGGCAAAGCAGGAGTGGTTGCTCTCACAGCAAAGCAGTGTAAAAGGCATCCCAGGTTGGAGAAATGAGGGGACGGAGCTGTCTGTCAGTCCAGATTGCACCCTGGGTAATGTCACAGTGGATTCTTCTAAAAATGAAAAGCACACTTGGTTTTATCATTTCTGGATGTCATCATTATGAGAGATCATCAGTTTATTTTACATATTCAAGTAATTATGCCCATATATGTTTTACATATTGTATTAGTTTGACTCAAAAGCCTTGGATTTTTTTCGCTCTACCAGTAACACCATACAAAATTGATTCTGAATGGTGATTTTGTGTGCTGTTACTGTTAGACTATTTTTTTGGAAAGAAGTTTTAATTTAATATAATCTCCTTAGCACTAAATTCTTACCTTTATTATTGTAGACATCCAAGTAATTAGGTGCCGAAAAAATTGTTATTAATGATGGGAAACCTGTAGTTTGGCTTTTTCTGTACATTCTATAGCTGTAAAATAAACAACTTAATTTGCATCATAAAGTAATAAATGATTATTTTGTATTGTTGAATAATTTCTGTAAGGGCATAAAACACTTACCCTGCATCTTGTGCTTCATGAGCTCTAATTATCGACAACAAATTATTATTTTGCAAAAATTCACAAACTGCTGGATAGCTGTGAAATGAAAACAACTATGAGTAAAATCTTTATTTTTTTTTAAGTAAAGTAACTCTTAGTACTAAAATGTCAATTAAATCCTAGATTTCTTTTTACCTATAAAAATATGAGCATCCCCTGACTGTATTATGACTGAAGTGTTCTTGTGATTTTTCATTTCCAAAATCTTCTGAGGGATCTGACCACAATAAGTCACACATTGGTCCAAATGCAGGAGGCTCTTTGAATCTATCTAGCTGTTTAAAAAACAAACACAAAGTTGATTTAAATATTATATAGGTCAGTTTTGCTTCTTACCTGTACAGTATACACATCCACCAATGCCAAAGCATTACAAAGTAAATGCTACCCACCACACGAGAGAGGTAGGCTCTATAGAAGCGTGTTTCCTCTTCTCTGTAAGGCAGATGCATGCCAAAAAAACAAGAGGAAGATTTGAACATACAACAATTGAGAATAATGAAGATAATTAATTGTCAGAAGAGGCGAGGGATCCTCCAGACTGATGGATGTGTATGTTATGAGAACGTAAATTTACAAAGGAACAAAATTGTCCTTTTCTCAGGCACACTACATCTACCAATTTGAAGACACCACTGGGAATTAGTAAGCAGTAGCAGCACAGAAAAAATGGAATAAAAGGGAATTAAGAAGAACTACCAGCCAACACGACCAGACAACCAAATGCAGCATCCGAAGAAACATATCCACATCGGACAGTTTAATCAAGGAATGAAGAGATGACCACCTAGGATCTCTGCAGATTTTTTTTTCATACAAAGCTTTATTGCTCTGCCATAACATTGCTGTGGACCTCATGGAATGGGCCTTGACCATTTTTGGAGGAGGCTTCTTACCTTTTCTTTAAGAGGCTTCAGAGATATCCTTTCTGACCCATTTGGAAACACTTACTTTAGTGGCTCTGTTACATTTCCAGTGACCATAGTGAAAAGTTACAGGACTAACTGTATTAGCTATCAGGAAGAGAAGCCTATTATCCCCTGTGAACCAGACACTAAAGGAGAATAAATGCACAACACAATGAAACAATGGTTATGTATAAGACTAAGATTTAGTCATGGGGATTTTTAGTTGAAGTCATGGATAGCTCACAGGCAATCAACAAAAATTCACGGCCCTGTGACTTGTACTATATACTCCTGACTAAATCTTTGGTGTCCTGGGAGGTTCCAGGGGGTGCAGCTGGCTGCTCTGGAAGAGGGCCTCTGGGGCACCTGCTGGTGCTGGGAGGGGGGGCAGCCCTGCGGGCCCAGGACCGCAGCAGCTGCAGGTAGCGGGAGGCAGCCCCACCAGCCCGGACCGCAGCAGCTGCAGCTGGCGGAAGGCGGGACCACGGAAGGCGGCCCCGGACCGCAGCTGGAGGGGAGCAGCCAGGGACTCCCACCACTGGGAGGGCAGCCGAGAACCGCTGCTGTTGGGGGGGTGGGGGGGGAGGGGGGTGTTGCAGCTGGTCCCGGGGCTGCCTGAGCTGCTTGGGCAGCCCTGGATTCAGTCGCAACTGCCAGCTGCAGAAGTCACGGAGGTCCTGGAAAGTCACGGAATCGCTGACTTCCATGACCTCTGTGACAGACTCGCAGCCTTAGTTATGTATATACAAGTAGCCCCATTTTACAGACAGCATAGAAAAGGACAAAGTTGTGGCAGGTTCTCAGAGGCAGTGGGGCTAAGTGGATGGTACTTATCTCTGCCATATTAGAGAGCTGGGTTCTAGTCTCATCTTGTGTAATATCTTAGTGGGGGTATGAGGCAGTGCCTAACAGCAACAGTTGTAAAGAGTACAATATTGTAAACATCAATCAGCAAAAAAGTGAGTTTAGAACTCATTCTCTCCTAGTCATTTGCATTTATCTCTGCTCCAGAGGATCTCATCCCATTCCCGGGCGGTGGAAGGGCTTCTGCGCCATTTGGTGTCCCCAAGAGTGGAGGACTGTTTGGTCGTACGTTGGGTCCAGCAGGGGTTGTTGGGGGTCATTCCAGATGGGGTCTCTCCTTTACTTCTCCATTGTTAATACTGCTGCTTTGGCAGTAGCTGGGGTAAGTTTCTGTTCCCAGGGATTTCTAATGCAGCTTATGCTCCTGTGATTGTTGCCACTAGTGCCACCCAGTCTTAGAACGTTCAGGGTGTTTGGTGTGCTACCAAAATTTATCTGTACAAAACAAGCCAGAGACAGGAAATGAAGATTTTCAAGAATTTATAACTCAGCCAAATGTGAATGGAATTTCTTGGCACATGCAAAAGGCACTTCCCCAAACCCAGGGCTATTCCCCTGCTGTGATCAAAGCCCTGCTGCACACAATGGAGGTCTGAGAGCTTCTCAAAAGAAGGTTCTAAGAATCTTTTACAATGGAAGATGTTGAGCACCGTCAGCTCCTACTACATTCCATGGAACAATGTGATTGCTGATCCCAGAAAAAAAATTGTTTTTGCTCCTACCTTCCGTTGTCTGGAACCTGGATTCTTAGCTGGGTTTTATTGGCTGACTGCTAACATTCTTGGTGACAGGAGAGGCAAGCTGTTTCTCCAACAATAATTTTATTTTTAAAAATAAATTGATGGGCTCCCTTTTTGAAAATCATCCCAATTTCTAGCGACAGAACCTGCCTCACTTTCAATATTTCCTAAGGTATCTGAATGAGTATTGTCCATTATAGCTACTACCTCCTTTGTATGACAAGACATAAGCTTCGGTACAGGCAGTCATCCTTAAACGTTCTTCTTTTGTCTGTGACCTCCAAAGTCCAGTTTCCCCAAGAGGGTCAACAAAATGTTATCAATTTCTCCTAAGGCATCACACAACTCATAGGTGACAAAAAAAGTAGACCAGGAATTTTTTTGGAACCATGACTGACTTGGTTTTTCATTTTTCATGCAGTTGGCTTGTCACCAGTCACATGATTCTTCCTCCCCATCCCTTTTAAAAGACGACCTGCCCACACGGAGTAAAGGAAGACCTCCTTTCAGGCCCTTTATTACTTGTAGATGACCTGGTAGAAGCAGTGGTGGATTCTCCACCAGATAATGGCATCTTACTGGTTCCTCAGAAACTGATTTTTTTTATTCCAAGTTGACTAGTTTGAAATTAGAAAGTTTAAATCCAAGCATAAAATGCTTCTGACCTCAGACTTTATGATAATGTTGCAAAACTTGAAATAATCAATACCACTCTTGTGAAGGAGGAACCAAATGCTACAGTTAAGATATCAGATGAAAAAAGGTCAGTTAACTGCAAACTGAAGAGAAATATTCAAAGAGAAAGCAACAGAAGATTAAAAATTTTAATATGATAGGATCATCACCACCTGACATCAACATTCCATGTGAGGTAAAACCATTGACAAATAAGTAGGAGTTATCAGACAGAAGACTTGATATCATAACACTTGTATTCCATTAAAATGAAATAACTGATACACTAAATATTTAATAGCACACTTTTTAAAAAACATATTTTCATCCTCCTTAATTACTGATATAACTACATCACTTTCCATATGAACAGGACCACTTCAAGAGGTTGCTAGGCAAACAAGTACTCTACCAATTTTCCATAAGAGTAACTCAGATTGTTGTACTATCACATTATATTGCAACTTTAAAAGTCCAAGGGTTTTTTGAGAAAAAAAAAAATATATATATCCACACTATCAAGATAGCAACACACAAATTTTCAAATTAAAATGACACTGACATTTCAAAAGAAGTCTCTTATGACAAGAAAACAAATCAAACTATAGAGTCTGATTCATTTTGTACATTCTTCACATGGTATAGCTATATTTAGTGAGAGCTATCCTACTTTAAAACTGAACTCTGCTTTTACCAAGTATTTCTGGTTCTCAATATGAATTTTGCTTTTCTGAATAAACTCAAGACAGTCAGATCAAAATGGTCATGTGGATTTCTAATATTTCTTTCATATATAAACCCATTATAAAAGTTTTGCCAAAAGTTAGAGGCAATACGTTAGATAATGACAGTAAACAAATACCAAATGATATAACTTTATAAAAAAATTAAAAGTATTTAAAATATAATTCTACATCAAGCTGTCAAACTAACACAACAAACTTATTTACTTTGATATAAATAATAGCTAACAAGAACTAAAAGACTTTTCATATTTAAGTTTAGAGGGATAAATTAAACTTGATCTTTAATACATCGATTGATTTTTAAGGCAACACTTAGCTTTTAGGAACTCAATCCTGCAAAGTGCTAAGAATTCTAGCCCTTCTCCAGTAAAGAACTTAAAGCGTGTGCATAAATTAAAGAGCAAACTCTACATTTCTTGGTGCAATTATATTACTCTAGAAACTAAGTTGTTTAACTGCAATTATGTCTATGTGTTTGATATAATAAAATCCATGATTACTCATAGAATCATAGAAGATTAGGGTCGGAAGAGAACTCAGGAGGTCATCTAGTCCAACCCCCTGCTCAAAGCAGGACCAACCCCAACAAAATCATCCCAGACAGGACTTTGTCAAGCTGGGCCTTAAAAATCTCTAGGGATGGAGATTCCACCACCTCCTAAGGTAACCCATTCCAGTGCTTTACCACCCCCTAGTGAAACAGTTTTTCCTAATATACAACCTAGATCTCCAGTGCAACTTGAGACCATTGTTTCTTATTCTGTCATCTGCCACAGAGAACAGCCTAGCTCCATCATCTTTGGAACCCCGCTTCAGGTAGCTGAAGGCTCCTATCAAATCTCCCCTCACTCTTCTCTTCTGAAGACTAAATAAGCCCAGTTCCTTCAGCCTCTCCATCTTCTTTGCAACAAAAAAAATTAATAAAAACCCTGCCCCTCAATCCAAGTGTCTGGATCCTGTTTTGTGCTTACAAAGAGCCAGTAAAAACTAGAAACTAATATACTGACATTTTCAAAGAGTGACATTTGAAAGGAGTCTCACAAATCCTCCACCCCCACTTTTTTAGAAATACACAAACATACTCACTCTCTTAATGTCATCTAGTGTGTTTATTTCTGGTGAAAGTCCACCATGAACACAAAGAAACTGTTGGTTTAAAAGTGCAGCAAGAGGGAGGCAATCAAAAGCTTCCATACAAGCATCATAGACTCTTTCTGAATACTTTATTTTACCTGTAGAGAAGAAAAAACAAACCATTAAGACTTACACAACATGAAGAAACTGCTTTATTGGTGCTTTCAAATTTTAAAACATTTTTATATGGCAAATACTAAAAATAGAAAAATGCACATTTTAATAAGCTTAAAAATCAAGACATAGGAAAGCTGCTTCAAGAAAAATGCCTTTCCAAAACTTTAAACTTATACTTCCCTCTTCCTCCGCATCCTCAAATATAAAATATGGACAAAGTTTTATTACCAGGGTGGATAAAAATCAATGATTTAAAAAAAAAAATGGATTGTTTTTATTTAAATTGGATATTTTTGATAAAATGCTTTTTGAGGAAAAAACCTATCTAAAAATAGTTTTAATTAAGATACATTATAGCTCAAAGATATCTCTTCATGAAATAGGGATTATAAATTCTAATTCTATAGTATGAGACAAAATAGTCATGTAAGTTTTAAGAAAAGTTTTGTAAATGAGTTCCAATAGTTCATGGATTAGGGACCCAATCTTATGGAGTTCCAGGGACTTCTGTATAAATTATTTAGGTTAATCTTTCTATCTACCCAATGAGACTCAGTGCTCAGTCTAGAAGATATCATCGGAGATGCTTAGTTTTGCAGTTCTCAAACTGTGGATTTGTGCCTCCAGAGATGACATGCTTGTTAACAACAAAAATGCTTTTAAAACACAAATAAATATATAGGAGATGAGAAATAACAGACCTCAACCCTATTGTCCCTCTGCAAATTTGTGTACACAGGCCGTAAAAGAGACCCAGTTTGGGAATATTTTAATGAAGTTCCTCTACCTGTGGGTAAGACAGGCATGCGTGCAAAATGCAAACAGCGCAATAAAGAAATGCAAGGCCTGGTTGCCCGAATGAAACAACATCATAAGAAGTGTTCCTTCTCAGGAGGAAGCTGCGTTGAAGATGATGAAAGGAACATGTCTGAACATGAAGGATCTTCAGGTTGGTAAACTTTTTTATTTCATACTTCTTTCTTAAGGACTGCCTGTCTTCCTTCTGGACTATTCTTGAATTCTCATGTTTGAGCAAAAAATATAGTTGTTACTCTATGGTACTATCATTTTAGATGCAGTTGTGATAAAAAATAAATAGCTGAAATAGGCAGATCTTCCTTTTACAATTTCACCTTTAAAGTAGTACTGAGTGTCAGTGAATGCAATGAGTGATACTAAATGAGCAGTATGGTAATAATTAAATAACTGCACTGATTTATTTTGTTTAGGAGAATCCATCCTCAACATACAGGATTCTGAAGACTATCCACCTTCAAGATCACCATCATTTTCCATAGTTTCAGAGTTATCTGCCAATGATAGTGTTTCAGTCACATCACGTACATCACATAGCCACAGCGAAAAGAAAAAATAATCTCCATCATCCAGAAACAGCCATAGATAAGTTTGTGATAAGAAAAGACGGTTACTTACCTCTCGTAACTGTTGTTCTTCGAGATGTGTTGTTCACATCCATTACAATTAGGTGTGTGCGCGCCACGTGCACGGACGTCGGAAACTTTACCCCTTAGCAGCTCCTGTCGGGACGGCAGGGGAGCCCCCCAGAGTGGCGCCCTTATGGCAGAGTATATAGTACTCTGCCAGCCCAACCCCCCTTCGGTTCTTTCTTGCCATTGACTCAGAGGGGAAGGGGCGTGGGTATTGTAATGGACGTGAACAACACATCTCGAAGAACAACAGTTACGAGAGGTAAGTAACCGTCTTTTCTTCTTCGAGTGATTGTTCACGTCCATTCCAATAAGGTGACTTGCAAGCTAACCATTGGAGGAGGGTAGGAGGCATGGAACGATTGACTGAAAAACAGCTCTGCGGACCGCCGCATCATCTCTGGCCTGTTGGTTGACAGCATAGTGAGCTGTAAACGTGTGCACTGAAGACCATGTGGCTGCCTTGCAGATCTCCTGGATGGGGACCTGAGCCAGAAAGGCAGTCGAAGATGCCTGTGCTCTGGTTGAATGGGCCGTAATCGCTGGGGTGGGACCTTGGCCATCTCGTAGCATGTGCGAATGCGGTCTGTGATGCAGGACGATATGCGTTGCACAGAGACTGGAAGGCCATTCATTCTATCGGCTATGGCAACAAACAATTGGGTTGATTTGCGGAAAGGTTTTGTGCGCTTTATGTAGAACGCTAAGGCTCTTCGGACATCCAGCATGTGTAGGCTGTGGTGTCTCGGGCTGATATGGGGTTTTGGAAAGAACACAGGCAAGCAAATGTCCTGTCCCATGTGGAATTGGGAGACCACCTTGGGGAGGAATTTGGGGTGCGGTATAAGCTGCACCTTGTCCTTATGAAACACTGTGTAAGGGGGTTCGGAGGTGAGAGCTCTCAGCTCGGACACCCTCCTTGCCAATCTAATGGGCACCAGGAACACCACCTTCCAAGAAAGGTAGAGGAGGGAAGAAGTGGCCAGGGGCTCAAACGGTGAGCTCATGAGTTTGGAGAGGACCTGGTTCAGATTCCAGGTTGGGACTGGTGGGTGAGAATACGGGAACACCCTCTCCAGCCCTTTGAGGAATCGCCCCACCATGGGATTTGAAAACACCGAGCGCCCAGACTCCCCTGGATGGAAAGCTGACATGGCTGCCAGGTGCACTCGGATGGACGAAAGGGACAGACCCTGTTGCTTAAGGTGTAGGAGGACGTCCAAAATAACCGGGATAGGAACCTGGAGCAGTTGAAGGCGCTTGGGTTCACACCAGCAGGAAAACCTTTTCCACTTTGCCAGGTAGGTAGTCCTAGTGGAAGGTTTCCTACTACCGAGGAGAATCTGTCTCACTGATTGAGAGCACTGGCTCTCCCTGGAATTTAGCCACGGAGTTTCCAAACCATGAGATGTAGAGACTGCAGGTTCGGGTGGAGAAGGCGCCCGTGGTCCTGCATGATCAGATCCGGGTAGAGGGGCAGGGCTATCGGGGTCTCTACGGACAGCTCTAGGAGCGTCGCGTACCAATGCTGCCGCCGTCAGGATAGGGCAATCATGATTACCGTCGCCCTGTCCCTGCAAATTTTGAGAAGGACCCGGTGGACCAGCGGGATAGGAGGGAAGGCATACTTCAGCCCCTTGCCCCACGGTATTAGGAACACATCGGCAATCAAGCCCGGACTGTGGTTTTGGAATGAGCAGAACTGAGGGCACTGTGTGTTGCTCTTGGTGACGAAGAGGTCTACTTGGGGATAACCCCACCTTTGGAAGACTGACTGTATGATGTCCGATCTGACTGATCACTAGTGCACGTGATGTGACCTGCTGAGGCGATCCGCCAGCTCGTTTTGTACCCCTGGAAGATAGGATGCTTCCAGCTGAATGGATCGGGCTATACAGAAGTCCCAGAGGAGAAGAGCCTCGCGGCAGAGGGGTGAGGAGTGGGCTCCACCCTGTTTGTTTACGTAGAACATGGCAGTGGTGTTTTTTGTCAGGACTGTCACGCTGTGACCTTGCAAAGTGTCGTGAAAGGTTTGGCAGGCCAGACGAACCGCCCTGAGCTCCTTCAGGTTGATATGAAGAGGTATCTCGTCCGTCGACCACAAGCCTTGTGTCTGCAGATCCCCTAAGTCTGCACCCCAGACCAGATCTGATGCGCCTGTTACTAACGTCAGAGAAGGTTGGGCTTGGCGAAGGGGACCCCTGCACAGACCCTTGGTCAGTCCAGCCACCAACGCAGGGATTCTTGTACCTGCCTCGGGATCGTCACAAGGTCCAGGGGGTCTCGGGACCGGTGGTAACACAGTGCGAGCCACGCTTGTATGGGCCTGAGTCTCAGTTGGGCATGTTTGACCACATACATGCATGCTGCCATATGCCCTATTAGCTGCAGGCAACACCTGACTGTCGTGGTGGGATATTGAAGCATTGTTTTGACAATCTGCTCTATGGCTTGGAACCTGGGCTCTGGAAGGCTCGCTTTTGCCTGTACCGAGTCTAGGACTGCCCCTATGAACTCTATCCTTTGGGTAGGTGAGAGTGACGATTTGGGTACAGTGAGGAGTCGTCCCAGTCTGTGAAAGGTGTCCATGACCATTGTCACGTGGGACTGGACGTTGTCCTTGGAATGACCTGTCAGTAGCGGAGGTACGGGTACACTTGAACTTGCCTTTTCCGCAGGAAGGCCACCACCACAGCCATGCATTTCGTGAACACTCAGGGGGCTGTGGACAGGCCAAATGGGAGAACAGTGAACTGGTAGTGATGTTGGTTTATGACAAACCGGAGAAAGCGGCAGTGCACCGGATGGATGGCGATGTGGAAATAGGTGTCCTTCATGTAGAGGGCAGCATACCAATCTTCCAGATCCAGTGATGGGATTACAGTGTTTAGGGAAACCATGCGGAATTGGAGTTTGACCATAAATTTGTTGAGTCCGCGAAGGTCTAAAATGGGTCAGAGAAACCCCTTTGCCTTGGGGATTAGGAAGTAACGGGAATAAAACCCCTTTTCCCTTAGCTCCTGTGGAACCTCCTCCACCACCCCTATCTCGAGGAGCAAACGGACCTCCTACATAAGGAGTTGCTCATGAGAGGGGCCCCTGAAGAGGGACGGGGAAAGTGGGTGGGAGGGAGGGAAGGAGAACTGGAGGGAGTATCCCACCTGTACCGTGTGTAGGACCCAGCCATCTGATGTTATACGGGACCACGCACGGTAGAAGTAGGATAGCCGGTTTAAAAGCCGAGGGGATGGATCCGGGTACTGGGTTGGTACACTGTCCTTGAGCACGCCTTCAAAAACCTTGCTTGTTTCCGCGCTGGGGTTTATTCTGGCCTTTGTTAGGCAGGTTTATTCTGCTGTCTATGCCTGTTTCTGCCCCGCCTTCAATACGGCTCCTGTCTGGGGCAGGGTTGATACTGCCTCTGCTGTGGAGGCTGAGGCCTGAAGGGCTTTCTCTGGGTTGCTGGCGTATGCATCCCTAGCGACTTCAGGGTGGCCCTGGAGTCCTTAAGGCCATGCAGCCTGGAGTCTGTTTGCTCCAAGAAAAGGCCCGAGCCCTCGAAGGGGAGGTCTTGGAAGGTGTTCTGGACCTCTGGAGGGAGGCCTGATGCCTGGAGCCACGCTGAGCGTCGCATGATTACCCCCGAGGCAATGGTTCTGGCCACAGTGTCAGCTGAATCGAGGGAGGTCTTAGCCACTGCCTTTCCTTCCTCAATTAACGCAGCAAACTCCGAGTACAAGTCCTGAGGCAAGCGATCCTTAAACTTGGACACGGCCGTCGAAGAGTTGAAGTAATTTCTATTAAGGATCGCCTGTGTAGCGACTTGGAATGGCGTTGCATGGAGTGCCCGGGCCTGGAGGCTCTGGAGATGATGGTAGGCCCATGGGGTCCAGAAGGGCCACTGACCCGGAGGAGGCCACTGTGGCTGCCATGCTGAGAGGGACTCTCTGCTGGCCACAGTTCGATGTCTGCTATAGCTGGACCGACCGGAGTCGGCCTTGGAGCCGGAGGATGCTGACGGAGAGGACCAGGGCGGTGCTGAATGTTGAGCGGCTGTATGGTGCCACGAGGTGCAGGCCGGGGAGCGGTGCCTGGCTGACTGGGACTGCGAAAGGTACTGGGAGTCTCGAGACCGGGACTGGTGCCTCTCACTCGGTGCCAGTGAGGTTGCTGGTGGCGCGCTCCAGTGCCGGGCGACCGATGGTGTCGTGGTCCAGCGTGTAGTCGCTGCAGGTACCACTGGTAGGTTCGCCTCCGGTGCCGTAATCTCGCATTGGATCACAGGTGCTGGGGAGTAGCGGGACGCCGAGCTCGAATGGGAATGGTGTCATGAGCGGTGCCGAGATGGTGACCTCGAGCGGCGCACCATTGCCGGCTTCCCTCTGGACCGCACCCTCTTTGGCAGTGCCGGAGGCTTCTCCCTGCACAGGAGGGGATTTGGTGCCAACAGCTCAATGAGGTCTTTCGCTGCCTCGAAAGTGCTGGGCGTGGAGGGGTGTTCCAGGACCTCCTCCAGACATTCATCGGCACTGAACTCGCTGGGTACCGGACTCAACGGGGCCTGTGGTATTTAACTAACTGATAACTATCTAAGAACAACTCTAACTAGAAGACTGAAAGACTAAGGGATCACTCGCAAGCGAGAGAGAACGTTCCAACGCCACCACGGACGGTAAGAAGGAACCGAAGAGGGGTCAGGCCGGCAGGATACTATATACACTGTCATAAGGGCGCCACTCTAGGGGGCTCCCCTGCCGTCTCGACGGGAGCTGCTAAGGGAAGATGTTTCCGACGTCCGTGCTCGCAGCGCACGCACACCTAATTGGAATGGACGTGAACAATCACTCAAAAGAACCAGCAGATTACAAAAAGAGGTAATTGATGAAAAAAATGCCCGGTTTGTATGATTGAGAACCCACACTTCATTAATATTGTTCAGGCTACAGTCCACCCAACAGAGCAGATGTCGCAGGCAAATTGCGGGATAAAGTGTATGAAAGAGAAATTGAGCAGTGTGCAAAAGGTCTAGAGGGTAAAATTGTTAACTTGAGTCTTGATGGGTGAAGCAATGTCCACAATGATCCTGTTGTATGTGCTTGTGTGACAACAGAAGAAGGGAATGTCTTCCTTACAGAAACAACTGATACATCAGGAAATCAACACACAGCAGAATACTTACAAGAAGTAGCAGTAAAAGCTAGAACAAACTGTGAAAAAAAATTAAAATGTCTAGTATGCAGTTTGGTCACAGACAATGCTGCAAATGTATGCAAGATGAAAAGAAATTATTTAGAAGAGAGTCCCATGCTAACAACATACGGTTGCAGTGCTCATTTGATGCACCTCCTAGTCAAAGACTTCAGTTCCAAATTGAGAAATCGTTTGGGACCTGAAAAAGCAGGAAAGCTTGTTTTTCTTTTCCAGATTAGGAACAAACAAGAAAATGAAGGTGAAGACGACTGAGTTAGCTGCAGAAGCCAATATTTTAAGTTTCTCATGTTGACGTGGCTGACGATTTAATTTTTGTTTTCTTTTTAAATATTTCATTTAACTATTTTAGTTAAAAAAACAATTTTAACAAAAACAAACCTGAATTTTAAAAAACTTGAATGTTTAACTAAATTCAAAAATTCATATGCTTGTTTTCTTAAAATATTATATGTTTGTTGTTGAAGAAAAAAAATCCAGAATACATAACACTGTTGTTTTAGTTAAACAAAACAATTTAAATGTCTATCTGGTGATGTTCTCCTCCTAATACAGCATGGCAAGAAAATCCTCCAAATACTAATGATTAACCTGTTGAATTGGAGATAGATATTTATGAAGTCACTGGGAGATGAACTGCTTCAATTACCTTTGATAAATGAAATAACCAAACAATCATTCATTTTCTGATATAGCTGTAAAACTAATCTGAAAAGTTTTCAAAATAAATCACTTTAAAAATGTATAGTGTGTACCTTCTAAAAATGAAACCTACATCTATCTCTGAGTTGTGAAGAATATGTATTAAGGTTATAACAACCAACAAGAATGCACTATTATGTAGAAATCCATGATTAAATCGAGTCTTCCTGACTAGTGATTTAAATCAATTTGATCTAAATCCAATCCACCCTGGTTATAACTATTTTTAAAAGTGTTAAATAATTCAGAAAAGTGAAAATAACTTAAAATCATGCAGTATAGCCTATTATATAAAATAATAAGGTATAAATGGTGAGTTTTAGATCTTTTAGTGACAAGGCCAAAGACTTTTGTGCTGATTTTCCACATACATTTCCATAAAAATTAAACCTCAAAAGATTTTAAAAGCTGCATGGATAGAATAGACAAATAGACTATAAAATGTACCTTTACAGAGTCCAGTTCTGCACACACTTGCTCCCTTCATGCTTATAATTGCTTGTACACCACTACCTCGATATAACGCGACCCGATATAACACGAATTCGGATATAACGCGGTAAAGCAGTGCTCCGGGGAGGCGGGGCTGCGCACTCCAGTGGATCAAAGCAAGTTCAATATAACACGGTTTCACCTATAATGCGGTAAGATTTTTTGGCTCCCGAGGACAGCGTTATATCGAGGTAGAGGTGTAGTTCCATTTAAGTCATTACAACTATGCAGGAGAATGTCTGCAGGAGCAGTCCCTTAATAGCATTTTTAGATGTTTTTCTCAAGAGATAATTGTAACACAGAATGGAAAATACTAGTTTGGTAGTAACCCAATACTATATTCCTATACAGTACTTACATTCTTGCTTAAAGGTAAAATATTCTGTGAGGTGTCTACATTCATGGTTGCCTCTCAAAAGAAATAATGTATTTGGATACAGAATCTTCAAGACCCATAAGTACAGCACACACTGTTGAAAAACAAAGGTATCCAATGATAAAACAAATTAATTTACAATAATTTTTATAGAAAGGATGCTAACAACAGAAACACTGTCCCCTTATGAAGTAAAAGAACATTAACAATGGCTTCAAACATGTGCCACTCAAGGTACTATTTCAAATATTGACAGTGAGGATCATTTCATAACATTACTCTCCTGATTCAGATGACAAATTCAGCATCTGAATTATGCAAGCAAGTTTTTACTTTCCTCAAAAAACAGTTAAAAACAAGCCTCAGGAAAAACATGTACTTCATTGGATGTTCACTGATAAAAAGATACTGACATTTAGTTTATCTGTGGAGACATCTATTGTTCATATAATCTGACCTCAAAGTAAAGATTCTAGAGATTATTTGGCAGAGTAACGGAGAGAGTTTTGTTGCTGTTTTTTGGTAAAAACTGAAGCAATGACACACAAAAAAATTTGTTTAAACCAGGTATATCTAGAACACCTAGAGATTATTTTTCCCTTTTTATTTTTAAAAACAATTTGTTAATAAACATTAGTGATTTAGCAAAGTTGGAATTAATTCTTATTCAATGATCAGACTTGGTATACGGTGAAATCACAGTAATGAGCTTTATTTTACCACTACTGCAATTACAGGACGAAACATACCGTATATACTCATTCATTAGCCCGTTTGTTTATAAGCCGACCCCCCAAAATGGATAGGTAAAAACAGCAAAAACTGTATGACCCTTTCATAAGCCGACCCTATATTTCAGGGGGTGGAAAACTTTGGCTCCCGGCCCGTCAGGGTAAGCCGCTGGCGGGTTGGGACGTTTTGTTTACTTGGAGCGTCTGCAGGCATGGAGCCCCTCAGCTCCCTGTGGCCGCAGTTCGCCGTTCCCAGCCAATGGGAGCTGCGGGAAGAGGGGCTCCATGCCTGCAGATGCTCCAGGTAAACAAAACGACAGTGTATTAGATATTCAATTCAATGATTCCATAGAGCAGGGGTCGGCAGCCTTTCAGAAGTGGTGTGCCAAGTCTTCATTTATTCGCAGTAATTTAAGGTTTCGCGTGCCAGTAATACATTTTACATTTACAGGGGATGGCGGATGAAACCCGACTGGCAGCAGGCTGAGCGGACCGGCGGCTGGGACCCCAGGCTGGCAGCGCGCTGAACGGCTCAGCCTGCTGCCGGTCTGGGGTTCCGTCCATCCAGGCCGGCAGCGGGCTGTGTGAGGCCGGCGGCGGGGACACCAGGCTGGCAGCAGCGTGCCACAGTAAATCAGCTCGTGTGTCATAGATTGCCGACCCCTGCCAGAGAGTTTAAAATCATCAAATTTTGGTGTATACCCTTTTATAAGCCGACCCCCACTCTTTGATGCGTCACTTTTTTTACCAAAAATATTCGGCTTATGAATGAGTATATACGGTACTCCCCCTATTTTCAGAAGACTATCTGGGGGGAAAACTCCCTTAATTTAAGATCCATTACTACCTGAGACAAGAACACTGACAATCTGGGGCTTACAGTTTGTTTATTATTCTAATGCACTTTTTAGATTGAGCATAGAGGAAAAAATAAATTTCAAACTACACCAACCTGATTCAGAGGTTATTTTTATTTGATTTTTTTCTTTTAAAGACTAACAAGTCTAAATCTATCATTCGCTCTATTCTCTTATTTAAAAAAAACAAAACTGTTTTTGGGGGGAATAGCAAGCGTGTATTCACACAAAAAAGGATACTTCAAATTTTTTTAAAAGGTACATTTACTGCGAAAGATATCCCAAAATACTTTTTAACATAAAGAAAGACCCCAAAGATTAATTCAAATATCTGACAGCAAAACAATCCTTAACAAAAAGATGTATATTAAACAAATTCTTCACATTTTTTAAAAACTACCTGCCAGTCTTTCAATATTTCCATAGCTATAAGTTGTTCTACTGTATTTCAAAGAATATTAACACTTTATTAATGCTTCCCAGCCTGCAGTCCAGTCTGCTGACAGTTTGTAACAAAGGAAGTACTAATCAACAGATAAGGATAAAGGCTAAAGACTTTTACAAATTTAAAAAGTAAATATTATTCACTAAGTAAATTTGTACATTAAATGAGCAAACAAATATTGGTAAGAGAAGAGACTGGCAAAATGGTAGCTTCCTTTTGATTCTTTAGTCATTCATATGCATTTAGGAGTTATTTAAACAAGCCATTGGAAATTTGCACTTTAATGTCAATTCATGCAGTAGTAAAAATACATTTGCCTTTACAGCAGACAGTATGTATAAAACCAAAAAAATCCCTTTCAATAACACACAATTGTTGTAGCAGTACCTTTGCTGCACTGACATTTGTTTTAAAATAAGTGAGGGGTGGCCCAGTGTGACCCACAAAACTCTTAATGGCACCTTATTTTTAATATGGAAGTGCAGTACAGACAATTTACAGGTCAACTTCATCTTGATCCAATAGCTTGGACTACCTTCATGCTGGAACCATTAATTTCCACAGGACTCGCCCTTCGATATTAAAAGTTAGGGCATCTGTCTATACTGTATAAAATGGTTCCTGTCTTAGTGTTATTGCAGCACTGAAATAGGCTAGATGGATAGAAAGCTGGCTAGATTGTCGGGCTCCACGGGTAGTGATCAACGGCTCGATCTCTAGTTGGCAGTCGGTGTCAAGCAGAGTGCCCCAAGGGTTAGTCCTGGGGCCGGTTTTGTTCAAGATCTTTATTAATGATCTGGATGATGGGATTAATTGCACCCTCAGCAAATTCGCAGAGGACACTAAGCTGGGGGGAGAGGTAGATATGCTGGAGGGTAGGGATAGGGTCCAGAGTGACCTAGACAAATTGGAGGATTGGGCCAAAAGAGATCTGATGAGGTTCAACAAGGACAAGTGCAGAGTCTTGCACTTAGGAAGGAAGAATCCCATGCACTGGTACAGGCTGGGGACTGACTGGCTAAGCAGCAGTTCTGCAGAAAAGGACCTGGGGATTACAGTGGACGAGAAGTTGGATATGAGTCAGCAGTGTGCCCTTGTTGCCAAGAACGCCAACGGCATATTGGGCTGTATTAGTAGGAACAATTGCCAGCAGATTGAGGGAAGTGATTATTCCCCTCTATTTGACACTGATAGGGTTGGGGGGGGGGAGGGATAGCTTAGTGGTTTGAGCACTGGCCTGCTAAACCCAGGGTTGTGAGTTCAACTCTTGAGGGGGCCATTTAGGGATCTGGAGCAAAAATCTGTCTGGGGATTGGTCCTGCTTTGAGCAGGGGGTTGGACTAGATGACCTTCTGAGGTCCCTTCCAACCCTGATATTCTATAATTCTATATACTGATGAGGCCACACCTGGAGTACTGCGTCCAGTTTTGGGCCCCCCACTACAGAAGGCATGTGGACAACTGGAGAGAGTCCAGCGGAGGGCAACAAAAATTATGAGGGGGCTGGGGCACATGACCTATGAGGAGAGGCTGAGGGAACTTGGCTTGTTTAGTCTGCAAAAGAGAAGAGAGAGAGGGGATTTGATAGCAGCCTTCAACTACCTGAGGGGGGATTCCAAAGAGGATGGAGCTTGGCTGTTCTCAGTGGTGGCAGATGACAGAACAAGAAGCAATGGTCTCAAGTTGCAGTGGGGGAGGTCTAGGTTGGATATTAGGAAACACTATTTCAATAGGAACGTGGTGAAGCACTGGAATGGGTTACCTCGGCAGGTGGTGTAATCTCCATCCTTAGAGGTTTTTAAAGCCCAGCTTGACAAAGCCTTGGCTGGGATGATTTAGTTGGTATTGGTCCTGCTTTGAGCAGGGGATTGGACTAGATGACCTCCTGAGGTCTCTTCCAACCCTAATCTTCTAAGATTCTAAGGACTATGAATCCCTGCTCTAGACTAAGGTTTTACTTTAACTCTGGAAAGAATTACTGAAATACACATGCTTCAGAATGAACTGTTTGAGAATAGGTCTCTGAGCACAAAATTAAAATAAAGACCAAGCATTTTTCTATCAGGGACTGAACATTTTATTTACCAAATATTACAGACACAACAAGCTAAGAGATTTAAAAGTGATCAAAAACATAATTTTAAAAAGGCCCAGGTCAAACTGGATATAAGCTGTTGGATAACCAAACAAAGACTACAGCAGGAATTTCAGAGGTGGAGGTGATTTTAATATACTTTTCCATCCTTTGCATAGGTCCACAAAACATAGCCCTCCCATGCTCTTGCAGCAATCCCGCTCCAGTCAAATACCAAACTATGAACTGTGCTGATCCATTAGTAGCCACTCTGTACAGCAATGAAGCAGGCAAGTCATTCTATGGGAAAAAGGCAAGTCTTTTTATGAACTATTGAATGTTTTTTTAAAGTTTATACTGGCTAGTATGCATATTATTAAAAAGCATATTATTAAAAAGAAAAAAAGTCCCCACTGCCTGCGGGGATAAAATGAGTCTGCTTTTATTAAATACTGAATATAGTCCCATCTCCAAAGCATTTCATTGCTCTTGTGGTTGTAAAGCTTGAATAAGGTCCAATATTTTAAGATACATTGTTTCCAGATGTTCTGCAAGGATGCAAATACAGCCTTCACCTCTGTCAAGAACAGTGTTTACACTATAAGCAGAAGCATTTCTGTAATCAACCAAAACAGGTCATGAAGATTCAAGGAATGCTGTGGGGAGTGTCTTTCATTTTAACTTTTCTTTATATGTTGATTTCTGAGGCATCACTGCATTATCTTTTGCTTATCACACCTAACAACGCAAAACAGCTCTGTGCACACACCTGAATGGTACACATATGCATACTGCTCCTGAAACATTACAATTTTAAAACACTACAAAATAGCATGCATCATGCCCTAGCATAGGACTACTTAAAAAGCGATGCAAACAAATATATTTACAACTTAATTTGTGTCAAACTTTTTTTTTTTACATTAACTTTAAATTTTAAAGACACTGTCAAGTTAAACTCTAAATTTAATCTACCATCCAACTCTTTCTGGACCAATTCTCCAACGGTTCCAAACTCCTGGACCAATGAAACTTGAGAGAATTTCAGAATCAACAGGATACATACAACATACTTAGTGCCCCTGGCTATATGTTAATAGAGCAGCATACATTGTGAATGCTACAGATGCCCTATAGTCCATCCTCTGCAAAGATGGCTATGGGAAGGCGGGGAAATCAGTAGGGCTGGTGGTTCCAAAAGGGCAGGCTGAGGCACTAGTCAATATCTCTTGGTCAACAGGTCTTTGGGATGGTATGAAGCATAGCAAGGAAGAATTCACATCCAGAGGTCAGAAGAACTGTGTATTTTACAAGAAGATAAAAAATGTTTTCTTACAGTAAGGTTTAGGACAGAACAAATTAATGTATGCAGTTACCTCTATACTAAAATAACCTCTGTCTACATAGTCACCAAGGAAGAGGTATCTTGTATTAGCTGGTGATCCTCCAACTTCAAACAGCTTCATTAGATCGAAGAACTGGCCATGAATATCACCACACACTGAAACAAAAATACTGTTTAAATACTGTCTCTTATTTATGGAAAAAATGACATTTATAAACTAACTTCAGAGACACAACATATTTTCCTAAAGAAAGGTTCATTCTTCTTGGCTGGTAAACAATAAAACATGTTGATTTACAACTAAATATAGCCTTTACACTAAATTTGGTATTTTTTTGCTAACAAGTAGGACACGCTATATCTAGACTGTTCTCAGTGGTACCTGATGACAGAACAAGGAGTAATAGTCTCAAGTTGCAGTTGGGGAGGTTTAGGTTGGATATTAGGAAAAACTTTTTCACTAGGAGGATGGTGAAGCACTGAAATGGGTTACCTAGGGAGGTGGTGGAATCTCCTTCCTTAGAGGTTTTTAAGGTCAGGCTTGACAAAGCCCTGGCTGGGATGCTTTAGTTGGGAATTGGTCCTGCTTTGAGCAGCAGGTTGGACTAGATGACCTCCTGAGGTCCCTTCCAACCCTGATATTCTATGATTCTATGATCTAGACACATTTATTTACGCATTTATATAGTTTAACATACATTTATTCAAATTCTTAATTTTCAGTTATTTAAAAAAACTGTGAATGACATTTCTTTATTTACTAGAGGATTAATTTTTTACATATGTCAAACTGCATTGGGATGGAAATTAGAATTTAATTAAATATGCACAATTATTTTTATAGTTCAAAAAAGTTTATCACAACATATTTTACATGTAAAACTAACTGATTTTTTAAACAAAGGAAGTTTTACCAGCAATTAGTGAATTGAACTGATTATTTCTGGTCAGCAAGTTTGTCAAGATTTCAGAACTCATCTCCTCCTACTTCATTTTTATTGATAGCTTGGGAGAGGAAGACAAGCTCTCCTGCTTTTTTCAATTCCCAATTGGTTTCTCAACTCTGAATGAGCTATTCATTGAAGTGAACCAGTTGAATAAATTGAAATGAAGACAGTATTCTCTCTACACCTGCAGAAGAGGTGACTGCTATCAAAAGCTGGTTTAACAATTTAACAAACTGTGGTTTCAAGTATTTAGTCAATGACTTCCACCAGTTCAGTGGTTTGACTTTCTTGAAGACTTTGGCAGCAAACATGTACTACTAAATTATTTTTTAAATTCAACTGTAATGATTTTAATAGATAAATTTAGACCTAAACATAGGTTAAATTGAATTTGAAATTATGAATAGGTTTATTTTTAAAAGAAAAATGTATTTAAATTTAAACGTTTAAAATATCTGGAAAAAAATCCCATAAATAATCAATTTGTATTCACTCTGAATGGCAGCTATATATTTATTTACAATATTTTCTATCTGGTTATTTGTGTCTTTAAAAATAAAAAAAGTTAAAAAGATTAAAGTAGCATCTTTATGCAAGTCAAATGTGGTCTGTGACTGGTCAGAACCTGAAAACATTACAGTATCTTTTCAAAACCAAAAGCCATTTCAACTTTCCAACTGGATCAGGTCCTATCTATTGTACTAAATAATACACAACAATTTTATCAGGTTGGTCTTAACTTGTTTGAGTTAAGACTACCAAGAGATCATCACATTTCACATGAAAACTTGGATTCTTAGGGCAAAACAATCATGAATATTCCTCATTCACAACTCCTGTTCAAAATATTTGTTTCAGCAAATGGATGCTCTAGCACCATCCCACAAATTTTAGACTGCAATTCCAATCTTCTCTTTGAAGCTCATTTTTCTCTTCTGGATTATTACATCTTTTAGTAACATTTATTATTGTTACAATGATTACAAAAACTGCTTTGCCTGTTGACATTGTATTAACAGTCCTACTGCTTTTCCCAAACATGTTTTATTCCTTCCTTTCTTCCACATCATTTTTTGATGCAACATTATGTCGAGTACTCAAGGAGAGTTATACAAAAGCAGTTCTGAGGGAAAGTTCAATATGATTGTTATGATAAAGATATCTTTACATTTATTTTCCCCCCAAGAAAAGGCCTTCTAATGAAAATGATGTGAAATTTTTACTTTAAGCATCAAAGAAATAAACTAAAAGTATTACCTGTAATTGGGGCTTCAACTTCTATCATAGTTTTCTCTCTTCGTAGAATTGCAGCACCCTCATTGATGATTCTAAGTGCAATTTCTTCATCTACCCGACCTTCTTTTACTAAGTGGTTCTTCAAAATGTCAACCCTAGGTTTTCCATCTATATCAAACACTTCTTCAGATGTCAAGTGATGTGTTGGTGGAAAAGGGACAGCTAAAATGTAAAGAGGTGAGGAATATCAATATTAGTAACAATTAGTTTCTTTAAAAATACACTGGATGTAAACAGAGCAGAATTGAACTATACTGATTAGCTGCCATGCAAAGTGGGATAACATTTACCAAATGTGTTTTTTAAATTTACACATTTTGAAGATATCACCGTGACACAGTGGGATATGTCTGCATCAAATTATTAATTCAGTTATGTACTATCTATGGAAATACCGGACACTGTAACTGCACAAGTCTGGACATGCCCAGACAGCAGCAGTGCCTGAGAAAGCTTTTTGACACTTCACTGAAGGACTATCCCTAAACCATCAGACAGCAATGTGAGGACATCAATTTAGATTATGTCAATTACTGACCCACCCCCATGGAGCAATGGTCTCTCTACACAGGGGCCCACAAAAACAGACAAGCATGACTGGTGAGGCTGAAGCTTCTCAACATGACAGAACGTCAAAGAGATGGAGGACTAATTTAGGAGCAGGATCCTGACACCTGACCATCCCCACACAAGGATGTAAGGAGCACACATTAGGAAGGGCAAAAAAGAATTTGAAGAACAGCTAGCCAAAGATTCAAAAAGTAATAGCAAAAAATTTTTTAAGTACATCAGAAGCAGGAAGCCTGCTTCACAACCAGTGGGGCCACTGACCGATCAAGATGCTAAAGGAGCACTCAAGGACGATAAGGCCATTGCAGAAAAATTAAATGAATTCTTTGCATTGGTCTTCAAGGCTGAGGATGTGAGGGAGAGTCCCAAACCTGAGCCATTCTTTTTAGGTGACAAATCTGAGGAACTGTACTAGATTGAGGTGTCAGAGGAGGTTGTGGAACAAATTGATAAACTAATCAGTAATAAGTCACCAGGATCACACAGTAGTCATACAAGAGTTCTGAAGGAACTCAAATGTAAAATTACAGAACTACTAACTGTGGGATGTAACCTATAGTTTAAATCAGCTTCTGTACCAGATGACTGGAGAGTACCTTATGTGACACCAATTTTTTTAAAAAAGGATCCAGAGGTGATGCCAGCAATTACAGGCCAGTAAGCCTAACTTAAGTACCGGGCAAATTGGTTGAAACTATAATAAAGAACAAAATTACACTTGTCTACAATTTTTGAGAAGTCGTCTGCTTCAGAGATAA